ATGATATAGGTAAGGCCAGGTAATCTATGGTAAAGTGTTTAAAATTTTGTTCTGAAAGCCATGAAGATTTGTTCAAAGATATTTTTTGCAAGAAAAATATAATCAGATTCGTGTTTTGGGAAGAATGCTCAGGAAGCAATATAGATGATGATTGAAGAAAGGACAAAAACAAAGGGCTGGAAAACCTTGGCAAGTTGGGAAAGAAAATCCAGTGGAGAATTGCTATTCACAGCAGCACCTAAAGAGAACATTTCATCAGAACTCTTGCAGGACAAAGAAATTCTGCAAGATCACAACATAGTTTTTACCACTGATGGTATAATCTAAAAAGGCCAGGAAATAATAATTTCTTGAATTTCTTTAAAGACCACTAACAAATATCAACTAGCAACTGTGTTATTCATCCTATGAAATATCCTTTCCTGTGATGTTTATTTACATTGTATTTTCATTTCAAGTTATTATAAACATGCTGCATTTCTAATGTATCCAATAGCTTATTGTCACCAGAAGTTAAGCCACGTTGATCTTGCTAAAATTGGAATCTTCTCATTTTTAAAATTGAAAAAAGAAACTAACAATGTTGAAATGTTTAACAAAGCAAAAAATTTAACGAGTATTCAAGTCTGTGAAAATGTACATCGTTTCATATTAGCCCCTGAAGTTGGACCAACAAAATGAGACGCATCAATCGCTCTTATTTTTGTAGACTCTCTTTCTTTTCCAAGATCTATACTGCAATCTTCTGTGAAGAGACATCAGCTGAAGGAATTTATTTTTGAGGTTTTAAATGAAAAACTGCATCAATAATTCTTCTAAGTCTCCACAGTTTCAGTATTACTGCCAGGTGGCAGTGAAAATGGTTTGAAAATACTATATTTGGCTGATGGCACCAATGGGAGGGAGTAGACAGAGGTGGCATTTTATCAACACAGCAAAATAGCACAAAGTGTGCTACATATAAAATGAATTTTCTGTAACGGCTCTCATTAAACATAAAAAAAACCACAATTCGGTCCTCAGATGACAATTCAAAACACACATTTAAACTCAATGTGAATTAAAGAGATTGAATTATAAACTCCAGAAGAACATATTAGTTATAGAAATGGCAATTCTCCTATATGTTTCTACAAAGAACACTGTAAAACACATATTTATTTTCTAAAACCTGAAAGCA